TTTTGAGCCAGTGCCCCCGACTGGCCCCCCCATTTAAAATGCTCTAGACACGCCCCTGCCTAGATGGTGGCTATGTGTTTGCAAGGGTATTCGAAAAAGTTGTTAAGTGTATGCTGAGGTGCTCTAGATGGTTTCTAGATTGTTCTGGATGGTTGCTAGGGCTAGTTGTTTCCTAGAGTATTCTAGATGGTTGATAGGTGTTTCCAAGAGTGTCCTTAATGGTTGCTATGGTTTTCTAGCTAGTTAATATGGTGTTTTCGAGGGTGTTCTGGATGGTTGCTAGGGGACAGGTGTTTGCTTGGGTGTTTTGGATGGTTTCTAGGTGTTTGCCATATGTGCTAAATGGTTTCTGGGGATAGATGTTTGCTAGGGTGTTCTAGATGGTTTCTAGGTCTTTGCTAGGGTGTTCTGGATGGTTGCTAAAGTCTAGGTGTTTGCTATTGTGTTCTAGATGGTTGTGAGGTATTTGTTGAGGTGTTCTAGATGCTAGGATGTTCTGGATGGTTGCTAGGGTCTAGGTGTTTGCTAGAGTATTCTACGTTGCTAGGTGTTTGCTACAGTGTTCTGGTTGGTTGGTTTGTAGGTAGGTGATTGCTAGGGTGTTCTGAGTGGTTGCTTGTTGTTTGGTAGGGTGTTCTGGATGACTTTTTGTGGCTGGGTGGTTGCTAGTTGTTTACAAGTCAAATGAGCCCACTTGCAAGGCTCTATGATATCCCAGCCCTTAGTTACAGGGATATCCGCTAATACATGTGATATTGGATTTTTATTTTTTGTCAGTTTAATTGTCTACTAGGCAAACATAAGGCATGAAGGGTATCATTTGCCTCTAAGTTTAATACTGAGGGTCAGGAGTTTTTAAAATGTATGAGTAAAAGCAATTCCACAGTCAATTGCATAAGCAAAACCAAGAGGTACCTCCCTTAGCTAGTACCACTAAACTGAGGCAGAAGTAGGAGGGTATTACAAAAAAAGGTATTACATGTAAAGGTATTACAAAGCACTGCTACTATAATATATTTAAAACTGAAGGGACACTTTATTGACATCAAGCTCTGTCTGATGATACAATCTTTTCCAAAGTGCCAGGGATAATCATCAATCAGCATGAATAAAGTGCCTTATGCTCAGGCCTCCAGGTTGTTTAATGCAGACTAAAATGGACCATCCTCATCATGTTCCCCTTCCCTATTACAAGTGTCATAATATTGAAGAAATAAAAGTCTTACAGCTAATGTAAGATCATATGTCAATGGAGACTTCCTAAAAGAGTTTTACATTAGCGTTGATCTACAAGCATTAAATCTTGGCCTGTGATTCCCATGTGTCTCAAATCTGAATCCAGATTTAATGTTTAAAGTTTTTTAAAACATTTTTTTTTTTTTATATTTAAAATTTGAATTACACAAGTTAGTGACTTATTCACTAAACCTGCTAATTCAGTTTGAAAAAAATCGAACTAAAAATACATTGTAACAGCATACACTGTTTCTTTTTCTGTGCTTCATTGTTTGAATCAACCTGTCCTCTGCACAAACATATAATACTATATATGTTTAAACCACTGTTGTCAGATCTGAGATCTCGCAAGAAAAACAAACTACATGTACCCGCAGAGCAAAATATATTATTTTGTGTTCAGCAGGAGGAAGAAATTATGATGAATCGCTTGTGCTATTCCTCATTTGTAAGTCACTTTGGATGAAAGCATCTGCTAAATGAATAAATGTAAATGTAATGTAAATGCAGGATGAAATGTAAATGTTCATGCAGGTTTGGGTGAGTAAATGATGACAGAATTTTCATTTTTGGGTGAACTATCCCTTTAAGTTGCATTTCAGAAAACATCTTTTTAATAATTATATCATTTAGCAAAAAAATGTATGTTTCACATATATAAATGGACATCGAAATCCATTAGTAAATTCATCAAATGCATTTACCAAAGTTGCTCATAATGAGTGGACATGGCAACACTGGTTTAAACAGTCTCATTCTTTCTTTACAAAGACTTCATTGTTGAAGATGCTAAAACAATTTATTCATTGCTCATGGATTTTACTAGCCCTCCATGTCAGTGTAATGGATTTAATGTTTATACAAATCACTCTATTATTTGATTACAGACGAAAAAAAACTCCAGTTCCTGTAGTACAATACACTCTAAAAAATGCTAGGTTAAATACAACCCCGCACTGGGTTGTATTTAACCCAGCATTTTTTAGAGTGTACAATATAATGTTAGCTTATTAAGGCAGAAGGCCTTTACATGCAGTAACACAGAGTGTATATGCCTGATAATAACCTGACAGTAAGAAAGTAGCATTTTGTGGTTTTCTGTTGTCTTTGGAAACCATTGCTTACATCAGTCCCAGCCTTTTAAATCAAACAGGTATTTATTAAGGGCCTTCCCAGTGGTCCAGCATCCTAATGCCATGATGACTTTAAGGATCCAGCTGAGAAGTCCTTCTGTAGGCAACATGAGGGAACCCAAAGATCCAGATCTGCTCCTTGGGGAAACTAATAAAGGGAGACTGAGTGCTACACTCCCTACTGCCCCTGCTGCATTTTCAGCAAATGCACACACTGTCAGCGAACAGGAGAGGGTGGAAAAGGCCAGGCAGCGTGACATAATGACCAACCCATCTGACGATAGCCAATCAGAGAGTATTACAAAAAAAGTAGAGCCAATCAGGAGGACACGAGCAGTGATGTGGTCCTCACTTAGCCACAAGAAGTCAAAAGTAATGAGCGCAGGACCAAGTGATTCACCTGCCCATTCTACATCATTCTGGAGTGACTTGACAGTTTGATTACTGGGAGAAAAGACTGAAAGGACAGAGGAACAGCCAATCAGGAGGAAGCCCACCGATGAAGCTCTGTGGTCCTGTTAACAGAGAAAGAAAAGTCATAACAGTGCACATGCATCTTACTAACAGTTTATATATAATCACTGCATTTAAGACATCAAATGGATGATTACCTTGAACAGCCAATAAGCAGCATGCAATGATGAGAGAGACAAAATATATGTCATGGCTGTGGTACACTCTCTTATTAAATCCATCAATGCCCTATGAACACATAAAACACAGATGCATAAATCAGTGCACTTATAAGTGTGCACTGCACTACGAACATGATGTTTAAGTATAACATCATTGAAATACAAATACAGTTATAAAGGATGTTTGTAACTACTGCCAGATACAACCTCTCACCGAATAATGCAACAAACTTGCATGTAAAAGACAGCTAAAATGAAAACGAAAAATGCACCATGTATATAAATACAGTAATGCGACTACAAATTAAGCTACTAACTAATACAGTCTGGATACTGTACTCTAACTGTAGCGAATAGGATTGTCACACTCTACCTGAGCAGCGAAGTCTTTCAAATGTAAATATTCATGCAGGTTTGGGTGAGTAAATGATGTCAGAATTTTCATTTTTGGGTGAACTATCCCTTTAAGTTGCATTTCAGAAAACATCTTTTTAATAATTATATCATTTAGCAAAAAAATGTATGTTTCACATATATAAATGGACATCGAAATCCATTAGTAAATTCATCAAATGCATTTACCAAAGTTGCTCATAATGAGTGGACATGGCAACACTGGTTTAAACAGTCTCATTCTTTCTTTACAAAGACTTCATTGTTGAAGATGCTAAAACAATTTATTCATTGCTCATGGATTTTACTAGCCCTCCATGTCAGTGTAATGGATTTAATGTTTATACAAATCACTCTATTATTTGATTACAGACGAAAAAAAACTCCAGTTCCTGTAGTACAATACACTCTAAAAAATGCTAGGTTAAATACAACCCCGCACTGGGTTGTATTTAACCCAGCATTTTTTAGAGTGTACAATATAATGTTAGCTTATTAAGGCAGAAGGCCTTTACATGCAGTAACACAGAGTGTATATGCCTGATAATAACCTGACAGTAAGAAAGTAGCATTTTGTGGTTTTCTGTTGTCTTTGGAAACCATTGCTTACATCAGTCCCAGCCTTTTAAATCAAACAGGTATTTATTAAGGGCCTTCCCAGTGGTCCAGCATCCTAATGCCATGATGACTTTAAGGATCCAGCTGAGAAGTCCTTCTGTAGGCAACATGAGGGAACCCAAAGATCCAGATCTGCTCCTTGGGGAAACTAATAAAGGGAGACTGAGTGCTACACTCCCTACTGCCCCTGCTGCATTTTCAGCAAATGCACACACTGTCAGCGAACAGGAGAGGGTGGAAAAGGCCAGGCAGCGTGACATAATGACCAACCCATCTGACGATAGCCAATCAGAGAGTATTACAAAAAAAGTAGAGCCAATCAGGAGGACACGAGCAGTGATGTGGTCCTCACTTAGCCACAAGAAATCAAAAGTAATGAGCGCAGGACCAAGTGATTCACCTGCCCATTCTACATCATTCTGGAGTGACTTGACAGTTTGATTACTGGGAGAAAAGACTGAAAGGACAGAGGAACAGCCAATCAGGAGGAAGCCCACCGATGAAGCTCTGTGGTCCTGTTAACAGAGAAAGAAAAGTCATAACAGTGCACATGCATCTTACTAACAGTTTATATATAATCACTGCATTTAAGACATCAAATGGATGATTACCTTGAACAGCCAATAAGCAGCATGCAATGATGAGAGAGACAAAATATATGTCATGGCTGTGGTACACTCTCTTATTAAATCCATCAATGCCCTATGAACACATAAAACACAGATGCATAAATCAGTGCACTTATAAGTGTGCACTGCACTACGAACATGATGTTTAAGTATAACATCATTGAAATACAAATACAGTTATAAAGGATGTTTGTAACTACTGCCAGATACAACCTCTCACCGAATAATGCAACAAACTTGCATGTAAAAGACAGCTAAAATGAAAACGAAAAATGCACCATGTATATAAATACAGTAATGCGACTACAAATTAAGCTACTAACTAATACAGTCTGGATACTGTACTCTAACGGTAGCGAATAGGATTGTCACACTCTACCTGAGCAGCGAAGTCTTTCATTGTTCAGCGTGTAATAGCAGACATAGGAACTGCAAAACGTCAAGCTACTGAATTAAGATTTAAATCAAAGTGGTTGTCGTTTTGATATGAGACAAAATGTCAAAGATTGTGCTCAGCATCTGTTTATCAACAACTCGAGCGAGCACAGGAAGTGTGTGCAGTTCTGCGTTTAGCGGTGGTAGAGTGTGTGTTGTGCCCTCTAGTGGACGAGAGAGGAACAGCACCAATAGTCAAACAGTAGTGCAGCACTCAAGTAATTTTCCTCATTGAAGTATCTTCACATCCTGACAGCAATCAATAAATAAAGTGGTCTAAATATAAAAATATAAATGTATGACTTCTGTGAAAGGCACAGGACCATAAAATGTTAGCAGTGTTTTTACAAGAGGGAGGAATTTGATGGAATGGGTTTCAGTCGACACAACGAACTTGTGGAGTTTCTTCTCGACAGGTAAGTTAAGCTAAACTTCAAGTTAAATATGATGCGATTTAAATTTTTCCTTTCTCTTTGGAGTGTTACAAGCTCTTGGTGCATAAAGAAGATCTGTAAAGTTGCAAAGACTAAAGTCTCAAATCCAAAGAGATATTCTTTATAAAAGTTAAGAGTCAACCACGCCTACCTAAAACGGCTCGTTCTAACACGCCCCCACATATCTACGTCACGATGTGGGAAGATTTGCATAACGCCGCCCAAATGTTCATGCAAAGAAAGAAGGCGTAACTTTTATTCTAGCTGTAGTATTGTTGTTGCCGCCGCCGCCATGTCGTGAAGACGCTGTATTTCGTTGTGAAAGCGAAACTACTTTGTTTGGTCTTCCAAAAGAGGACGATATCCGCTTCGTCATGCCTGGAGCTGATCCATGCTGGTCGCTGAGGAAATACAACAACATCGCGCTGTGGATCGCCAGATCGGCTTTCACCGTGGACGAAGTGACGTAATTGGACATAATTCATTAATTCTAAAAAAACAAAACAAAAATGCAAAATGCCTTTGAGTGGTTGGCTTATGTTAGGGGGTTAGTCTTACTTTTAAGGCTGGAATACTGTACACTACATGACTTTTGCCCAGATTTACAGTCTGGAGCATTTGACACTAGTTACAGTCAGAGCAAGTCACTAATTTGAGTTGGCAAGTTTCATAGAAAGTCGAGTAGTGTATGATAGTTACAGACATCCAGTCATGTAGTGTATTCCAGCCTTTAGTTAACTATATACCCCCCCCCTTTTCATTTTTTCTAGAACATAACCCTGTTATTTAGATAGCTAAGCTAAGTAAATGTGTGTGTGTGTGTGTCTGAGGGTGCTTGTCATTTCCTAAATTGTGCATTCATGTTTTCTCGCTCCTCTGACCATCAGCCTGTGACCTGGAAACCAATCAATGTCCATCATGATAAAGGATGTATCAGTGTGTCTGTCCTATACCTGGCAGAGATGGTGTGCTTGCTTTACTATGACAGAGTGCAGGGAATCCGTTGTGCAGCGGTGTAGACCAATATGGGCCACACGCCTAGCCTTCCATTCCTCACTGAAATCACCCAGAGAAATGGTTCGCCCTCCGCTTGACACTATATCACCTAAGAGTGAGGTACAAGAATAAACACATATGAGATATGATAATAGGCAGTCTTTTTGAAAAGATAAACATGCTGGGCTAGTTGATAGAACTAAATTACCGGTATATGAATGAGGCCTCCCGGCAAAGTCAGACCATTTTTTAATCAGAGCCTCACGGATGATCTCACTATTATCACCATGGCTGCAATAAAAGACATGAACAGATTTTAATGACGCAATGGAGACTGACACTACAAGCAAAAGACAGCAAAAGCTATCAGAAGTTGTTTTGTTTACCTTACTTAAATACTGAAGTATTTGTTCACAGATCTTTTACAATTCAATAGACTGCCTTTTATTCATTTTATGAGCTAACAATTTTAAGTTTGCTAGTTGAGTTAACTTAAGTTGAATGTGATTATTATTGTTTTACATTTTACTGGCTTAATTTATGCTGCTGATGCTGTTGTCGCTGTCAGTTAGCTGTCATATGGATCAGAGTTCATATTTTTACTGAATTCATATTTGTTGATCATCACCATGTTTGAGAATCGTGTGTTGAGGTACTGTATATGTGCATCTCATTGCAACTTCTGGATTCAATACATTTATCTATCAGCATAAATGCTTGCCTTTAGTTTTAAGAGGGTGATACTGCCCATATTATGTAGTAGGCTTTGAAAATGAAATATAAAGATAAAAGAAAGAGAATTGCTAAAGAGGATTAGCATTGCTAAATACTAAATAATCTTTAGTTGATGTGACAGATCTTTTACAATTCAATAGACTGCCTTTTATTCATTTTATGAGCTAACAATTTTAAGTTTGCTAGTTGAGTTAACTTAACAAGTTGAATGTGATAGGTTGCATAATTTTTTTGAGTTATGTAAACTTTTTGTATTTTATTTTATTTTTAATTTTTTACTGCGTACTAACACAAAAGCCTTGTGACATCTTGTCCTGATCTCCCCTAATTAGTGAAGTTTATGTAATTCATTCAGTAGTTACATTTACATGAGATGACTTCATATCACCAGTTGCAGTGAGTTTTGCTATCATGGAAATGGAATAAAAATAATAATTACTTGTGTTGCCACAGTTGAGCCGATAAATATTTCCATAGCGAAGTGCCAGTGAAGTCAGGTGAATGGGCAGATGTTCTTGGGCAAGATCCAGCATGTTGCCCAGCAAAGGGAGAGAGGGAGGACCAGGAAGAGAGAGAGAAAGAGGACCAAGGCAGCGCTTAGAAAGGGAATGCAGGAGTTTGGGTACAGCCGCTAGGTCAGTGGAAAGAAACATATATGTGACCCTGGACCACAAAACCAGTCATAAGGGTCAATTTTTTGAAATTTAGATATATACATCATCTGAAAGCTGAATAAATAAGCTTTCCATTGATGTTAGGATAGGACAATATTTGGCCGAGATACA